AAAAGTGCTTGGCAAGAAGTCTTAAAGATAAAATCTTCCACAGGAAATCCATAAAATTAGACAATTATCATAAAGAAATTTGGATTTTCAAATTCAAACAAATTCCAGGAAGCCCAGACATCATTTGTCTTTCATTCTTCTCCTACTTTCAAAGTGAAGAACTCCTAGCCTAGGCAAAACATAAAAAGCTAAACTGAGGGCTGCTTAGACTCTGTGTCCTTGTCCCTTGATGGCTCTGCTCACAAAATGTGTATGGAGAGACCATTTTAGTGTTATTGTAAAATTAGGGTAGAATGCCTCGGGCAATGCCCTTCCCACCAAAACTATGCATACCAAATACACAAAGCAAACAATAAGAAAACAATGGCACAGATCAGCATTTCCACAAGAAAACAGCAGATTTTTAAGAGGAAAAACGTTCTGAATACAGAATACCTGCCTACAAAGCAAAATTGTTCATGCACTTTAACATTCCGCAAGTTACTGCACACTCCAGAATATTCCAGTTTACTGGGGTTTTTTTTAAGCATAAGAGGTATTGCAGATTCAACTGCAAGTAGTGAACTATTTCACATAGACATAAATGACAGGGAGCCTTTCATTCCAACTACTGCTTCTGGATCCTAGCCAACCCCTCAATGAAACGTATAATTGGATAAATGTAGGTTATGGCATTAGTAGTATTCAAGTGCCTCTATTCTATTTGAAAAGGAAACAGTTTTTCTGACCTTTAAATCTCACTACAAATAAAGGAGCAATTATTTCTCAATAAGTGCATCTGTTGAAAACTAAATTAAATTAAAGAAAAAATCAGTTACTATTTTTCCTAGCTTTCATAAACCCTCCTAACTTGTCAGCTTCCTGAGGATCTGCCAAACCACCTTGCCTTGTGTCTATCCTTCACACTGTGAGACTCCCAGAGGTGAGGCTCTCTCTTCATAACTGGGGGAGGAAACACACTTGGAAGTGTAAGCTCTGGCAATTTTTTCATGTAAAAATCAAGAGAGAGGAGATCTTTTCCAAAGCTGTGCTTAGAAAGCCTTTTTAAGAAGCATAGCAAAAAGGTGCATTCTCATATTATTTGCTGAAATTTTATCCAGCAAGTAGGGAGTTCTAATAAAATATTAAAATTCTTGTAGTTACTGAAATCACAGAAACTGAGCTGCAAACAACTGCCTCTCACTTTATCCATCCCTGACATGGAGGTAAAAAAGCACCCTTTCCAGTACATGAATTTCCTGGCATACTTTTTCACATTTCTAGACTAGTCCTTGTTACTCTGATGACATGTTTAAGCAGCTCTTTCCTTGCTGATCCATGCAGCAGATAATTTTTGCACAGCCTGTTTTCACTCTGCGCTCAGCATGCCCACTGGCTCTGCAGGAGTTCTGCTCGGGAAGTGAGAAGGAAAGCATGCACTACAGATCCACTAAGCAGACACCAGCCCACGTCTGTCTCAGAAAAAGGCATCAGGCTGAGGATTTTTGTGGGGTGTTTTCCTCTTTTTATTTTTTTTAATGATGAAACTGAAAGTTTTTTTACCCCTTGGTAGAACTACTTTAATTTAAACTTGAATTCTGGACATACAATAATAATTTCACTCATTTTATTGTTGTCTAGATTCAAGAAACTTTTTAACTTTTTTTTTTTTTTTTTTTTTAATCAGGATATTTAGTTTGTCACTTCTTTTTGAAATTAAAATCCCTCAACCACTCTAAGTCTGCACAATAAATGCAAAGCTGGAGTGAACTTCTGACACCATTACAGTATACTGAAATCAATACTGTAATCCTTTAAAATGTCTCACTAGAATGTATATTTTCTATATTATATATCCAATTAATACATATAATTGTATTCAATACATACATACAATTCATGTATGCATACATATACACACACATATATAATGTTCATGAAAATGATTGAACCACCCTAATTTTCCACTTTCAGAGGAAAACAATATGCAGTTTTCCACTTTAAGGGCAAACCATGGCAGCATCGAAACGTACCCACTGGAGAAAATCAGTATCAACAGCTGAGCACTGGCCACCACAAACACCAGCACCGTGTGTGTGTCACTGAGGGGTCTCAGTGACAAAGACAGAATGATTTGGTCATGTATTGCTCAGCAATTAGATACAAGCACATCAGAATCTTTTCTTCATGGCTATGTTGCTTTCTCCAATATTAAATTCTTGGAACAAAGCAGCTATCTGTGCTGTAAAATCACTGTGTGAAAAAAGACAAGGAGAACAAACAGCATAGATTTACATGCACTCATGAAACTTCTTGTTCCTCAAACATCTCAAAGCCCAAAAATCAGAAGGATAACTTTAAAAATGTCTGTGCTCTGCTATTAAAGGAGCTACAGAAGACAATAAAGAAGTTATCAGAATCTTTTGCCAAATACAACTTATGTGGAATGAATTTATTTATTTATTTCAAAAAACCTGTTTCCAAATCCCAAGTTAGGCTGCAAAAAGAGAGAATTTAAACATCTTAATCATCACTGCTGCATCACTCCCCTGAGGAGAAGCTGCCACATTCCAGTGCAGCTGGAATTCAAATGGTGGCCCCAACTGAGGGGTTATTGCAGGTCACAACACACAGTCACTGGAAAAACACAGAAAAACTCATGAATCCTCCTGGGCTCAACTTTCTTTTTACCCTGGTATTGGCAATGTTTTAGCAAATGACCTTGTCACTATATTTTATATAATATCTCTGTTATTGTCCACCTCTCACCACATTTTTCCAAATAATTTTATTTCTAACAGCTTTACTTAAAACTGAGAATACAAAAACAAAGGAGGGCTTGAATTGATACTTCACCTGTAACATCAAGCAAGAAATAAAATATTCCCAAACAACCCATTGTTTAATATAATGCAGTAGAAACCAAGTACAGATAAACATTAGGTCACTAATTTTTCAGTCTCTGAGCTTTGGGTGTTGACCCAACACGCCTCTGGAATAGCCATGAGTGCTAGGTCCCAGTGGTTTGCAGTGACCACAACTGGTGCAGGGTGCTCAGCACTTCTCAAGACTAAAAGTTAAATTACAGACCTCCTGCTGGAATATACTTTTCAAGTCAATAGCTACCCAAACTTACCTGCTTATCCCTGAAATGCCAGATGCAAATAAAAAGTTGTGTGGCTTCAGGAATGTTGCAAGTCTGTTAGCAACAGCAACCCTTCCTTGAGGGTGCTAGCAAAAGCTGTTTTACAGCAGTGAGAGATTCAAGATAAGAAAATAAAACAAGAAAAATAAGAATTACTTAGTATTTTTCTTAATTTTCTCTAGATATTATATATATAATCTTTAAACATAATTTAGATTTCTTCAAAAACTGCCCAAGCACTTGAAACACTGTTTTTGAGAAGGTCTCTATAGAACACAAGTTCCATGTGAAAATAACTGGACTGTGGAAAGATTAGAGCCAGCAGACTGTCCTGAATGAATATCATATAGGCACAGAAAATACTCTTAAAAATGCCTGTCAGTATTTCTTCAATTATATTTATGCTAACAAAACTATGGCACAGGCTTAATATTTTTACAGTAAGAAAAATATGTAGGTGAGATTTGAAAAGTTCCATGGATTTGCTTACAGCAATCCTACACAGAACATCCACTGTCCAAAGGTTTGTTATTCCTGTGTACTGAAGAACAAGTAAAAATATCAGAAAGTCAAAAAAGAAATAGCAATTTCTTGTTGCAGATACAATGTCCCATTCATATGTTTAACTAAAAGCAAGTTGATTAGATTCTGATCTCTGTTATATCCACACAGTTGCAATTTCTCCAGAAGTGTGCATCCACCCCTAATGATAACTCAGTAAATTAGATTAAAATTTGAGCCAATATGCACACTAATTTAAACATTCATATTAGATCAAGTAAACCCTAAGCAATAACAGCCCATGTATAGTTAATACTCTCTCTATCTTTTCTTGGTGAATGTTAAACGACTATAGGTATAGGATCCAAGAAATAATTTGTCCTTTTAGGTTAAGTCACATGAGAGCTTGTAAATGGGATAAATCTGTTGAATCTTCTTTGCTAGAGTATCTCTCCCCATTTAAAAAAAGTTTTTTAAAAGAACCATGTTTTTTTAATGTTTTCTTATTCTGATATTGCAGCACATGAAATGGAAAACTGACCATCAGCTGAGTAAATAAGGCAAAAATCAAGAAGAAATACTAGTTAAAGACTAGACAATCAAAAGCCTGTAATGAATTGTTACTATTCTCTCAAACCCAAACCAGCTGCATTACCCTCCCCCCATCACTACAAGGTTTCACAATCTAGTAGCTGCCAGGGAAAACTTCTGAATGCCTCCACTTTTACTCCCACCAAGCCTTCACCAGGGGCTGCCATCCTTCCTCATTTAATTACATTTCTTAACTGGAAGACACAAATGTTTGCCGTGTGGTTGTTGTTTTCCCAGACAAGAATCAGGCAGACCTGAGCAGACAGGTGCTGATGTTCTGATCCAGCAAAGCACTTGTGCAATTCAAGCCCTCAACCAAACCTGGTCCAGCCAAGAGACAGCCCTGGGCAAAACACTGAGTAATGGATGCTTCATTGAGTCAGGACTGTCAGACAGGCTGCAAGCTTCAGCAAACTGCAGTGAGGTAACAGAAGCCACAATTTAGCTAACTTTATGAAAAAGCCAGACTCTGTGTGTGTGTGTGAAGAAAAATGAAATTATTATATATATTGCACAACCTCTCTAATAAAGCCTTGTCAGTAAATACTAAAATTCTCAAGTTTAGTTGGTTTTTTCGTTGTTTTTTTTTTTTTACAGATCAAGACAGGCATGTCTTACCAGACACAAAGCTACACAATATCTGTGTACATTTCTTTATTAGGAAGAACACATGCAGGAAATTTAATGAAATGCAAGAGTTTATTTTGAAATCAAACTGCAAAAATATATGACAATGACAATAACAATAACAATTATCTCTAAAGAAAAAATCAACTCACGGAAATTTTCAATTATGATAATTTATTCCCATCAGATTGCTTTATATGATACTGCATCAGTGTAATAACACTGATAGAGGTTTAGCTACACTTTTGGAACACAGTTGTGCAGAGAAGTATATTGTCACTCTCCCCTCAAATTTCAATGTTCATATGATCTGAAAAAAAAGAAAATAAAAAGGTGCTAAGCTGCTGTAAACACAACATTATTTGTAAGAGAAAAACATAAGAACAGTTGTGATATAACTTCTACTTCAACCTTAATATAGCCCCTCAAAATAGAGCTGGAAATAATTATTTACTGGCTCATACAAGTATGAGAAATAACAGCCTTTTCATTTCTGCATGCGGGCAAGTCTGGATTCTGTTAACCTCAGTAAACACCATCTATGTTTACGTACATATGAGCTGGGTATAGGTTAGTGCTTCTTTCAAGAAACAGCCATTATTTATCTTTGAAGGCACACGAGCATTTCCTTCAATATATACATATATATGTGTTATGCTAATAATTATGCTTTCCTTAAAAAAGATATATCTACAATTTAATATATTACAGTAAATCTGTATCACAGACTACAGTACCATAAAGAATGCAAAACTGAAATTGTGCTAAAGTAGTTTCACACTATTTTATTTGCTTAACCAGCACTACAAAGAATTTAAACCATATGTAGAGTGGGCAAGAAAATCAAACTACTTGCAGAATATTATGCATACATATTTAAATGTCCTTTACATTTAAGACAATAACAAAACTCAGCTATGTAAATATCTCTTACAAATTACAATAACACCTGATACTTCTCATACCTTCATCTCTAGATGTATTTGCCTTAAACTGGATTGCACTGGGATCTCCATTTCCCAATACAATTAGCACATTTAATCATGTCTGAACTAACGAGCAAATTATCTACAGAATATGTTAAGCAAGTTTACAAATTTGATAAATAACACACCCTTTGGCCTATGTCCAGGACTAACTGCTTCAGACAGAACTGAGTCACCTTTGTAGGAAACAAATTAATTAGCCCCTTAGTAAAAAATGAAAAATAATCAGGGACTGAAAATTCAGAATATTTCCCCTCTCAAAGAAAGAACTGGTAAGCAAAAACATTATAAAACCGAGATGCTTATTAACCATGCAGATTTGAGTTCTACATGATTAAACATTACTCATCATCTGTTTCATTCACTATTGAAAACAGATAATCAAAATACCCCATTACATTACTCTGACACACATGATTTTGACTCAAAGATATTTAAATTATTATGAGATAACTGTTAACTCATTCACCTTGTAGACTTCTACAATGAGATGTCCCATATGGAAATTCACTTAATAGTAAAAATCTCCTTCCTCTCTTGTGCAGTAAGAATACCTCACAGTGACTCTATCTACAGTTACCTGCTCACTTCAGTACCCAGTGGTCACAGCATTTCCTTGATCTAACACATCCCCTCTTAAAACCCACTCATAATGGGAGGTGGAAGGTGGGGCAGAGTCACGCTTGGCTCTGACCATGCTATATCTGTTTGGGCTAAAGGAGAATTTTAACTCAAGTGAAGGCAGCAAGTTACTGAGTTTTTCTCACTGTTGGTTGCCAAAGAAGCTTGGTGGTGTAGCAGGTAATCATGTTACTCCTGCATGAGATCAGGTTGCCCCTGGCAGAGATGAACTCTGTGGTGCTCCCCACGACCACCACTGCCACCCTGCTCTCCTCTGGGCAGACCACTGTCTCCCCTCACTCTGCTCCTCCGATGCCTGCATCTACATGAAGAGCAAAGGCAGCTTGTAAAGGTAGCTGATAAGTCACCTAACAAAAAATACAAAAAAAGCACCAAAACTGCCCAACCTTTTCTACAGGTATTATTTCTATTTTCTTCACATAGAAGCTAAAATGACTTAACTCTCATAAGAGGAAAACAGTGCAGGCAAGTACGGATATCAACTTTGGCAGTGTAAAAACAGCAATAACAAGACTTCCTGCATCCTGACAGGCAGAATTGCCTTGAAAAAATATAAACATTCCTCTCACTGTAGAAAGATTAACTACAAGCAAAGAAAGTGTTGTGATCATAATTACAAAATTATAACATAACAGAGGGATATTAGGATGTTCTTTTAAATTACTGATGCATGTGAAAAAAACAGTTTCTCTAAATCCAGAATAGATTTCCAGTATAACAAAGATCAATTGACAAACATAGCAAAATGTATTGATTTCTAATAAGATTTGATTGTAGCACTATAACCACAAACTTCATACTGTCATAACTTTTATGAAAAAAATGAAAAGTTTACCTGCCTAAAATCTGGCTTATTTGATCAGCTGGCCTCCCAGGAAGAGAACTAGTCTTAGGTTAAAAATCTAAATATAGATATAGATTTAGATTGCAATATCACTATGTAATTACATATATGTAAAGAACATAAAAACAAGAGACATTTCCATAATCTTTTTATAATACTAGTGAAAAAATTTAATTTTACCTAATTAAAAACTTTCATGAAACACCTGGATTTTCATCTGAATTTTTGTACCAACTACTGTGAGAATATTTGCTCTCCACAGAACAGTGACCACGATTTTCTACTACCAAAAAGTAATCCATATGCATTTGCAACACTGTTTTCCAGCTGACAGAATAAATCAACATCAATGATATATTTCATAAACCTCCTAGTCAATTATTTCAGAGTAAGAATTTTAATAAACATTCTGTTATTTTGTGTGTATTTCATTTGGCACAGTTTCATGTTTTCTAAAAGATCATTCTTGTCCCACCATAATAATCAGTGTGTATTGGTGCATACCTTTGGTGAGAACCTGCTTAGGTTTTTCATTATAATCAAAAGCCTATTCTAAAGGGTTGTTAAGAGTCTCACCTCCTTTGGTTTGCAGTGGTATGCTGAGAATGTCAGCCTCTGTGGATGGCTCATTGTTCATGCTGATGCAATATAATGGTTCACCCAAGAAAGAAGGTTTCTTCAATCTTTTTGTGTTGAGTGCTCTTGACATAAAGTAACCCTCAGTAATACTCTTATCTTCCATCTTCTGTAAACCTTCTAGGTCATCAGGTTCCTCTGTTTGGGCCAGTGAATCCTTTGATAAGTGACTACCAGCCAGTGCTTTGCTGATATAGTAGCCAGGGATTTTGCTCTCTGCATTAACACATAAGCTTTTGTCTTCAAGTCCAGCCTTTTCCTGAGCCATTAACATCCCTACAATATGGTCTTCAACTAACATTTTGGAAAGACTAGATGTGGAGTGAAGAGTGGAGTCTTGACTTGTGTAACAGGGGGGACTTAATCCAAAAGAAAGAGATTCCTGAGACTGTGGCATGGTAACGTTACTTATTGTTCTCTGAGGCTGCATACATTCTTCCAGAAGGGTCTTAATCTGCTCTTCAGAGAGGCTCATTTGTTCTTCAGTCTGAAAAAAAAAAAAAAAGGCGAGAATTTCTTCTGTCAAAATATAATTAATGAAAAGCAGTGCCATAAAATAGCTTGAGAGACACACTGGCAGAATCCTTGAACAAATATCAATGTTTTTCAAGTCAAACTGAATTTAAATATACATTTCCATAATCACAAAATTTATGCAGCATCCTCACTAGGTTCTAGATAGATTCTGTAATGAAAGTTAGGAAAGAAGTTCAATGTCCACAAGGCACTGAGAGGTCTATGATTTTGCATAGTCTTCCATGAGATCTGACTGGTTTTTATTAGCAGAGCATGCACTTTTCATATTTCTTGGTTTGCTGTGAACACATACAGACACACACACACATACAGACTCTTTAAGGTTTTAGTTATTGAAAGCAAAATAGCACGTGGCTAGAAGACTTGGGGCAATGCAGCTGGGGTTAGAAATGGTTTTGGACAGCACCAGCCCACAAAGCCTGTCACATACTCACTGAAATATTACCGGCCTCTCAGGTAGCAATGCCACATAGTCTCTTTCTCAACCATGGGACACAAAGCACATCAGTTACCGACCATGGCAAGTAGTACCCATGGCATGTGACAGAAGAAAGCTCCATAGCTTCTGCAGGACAGTTCTAGTGCTTCCTTCAAGCTGTCACTGCTCGCATAGCTCGCAGATATATCTTTTCAGTTAATTTCTTATTCAGAGACTGACACACTCCCATCATTTTTATCACACAGGTCTTCTTTATTGGACATTTCTTAAAATTTGATATTAAAGATAATGACTGATATTAGCTGGTTATGGTGAAGAATAGCAAAGGATATTTTGCTTAAAGAGGCTAGCAATAAGGAGTTACTTACAGCTTTTACAATCCTTAATGTTCCTGAAAACAGTAGCACAATATTTCCTGACAATTTAAAGATTACAGTAATAAGAACAAGACTGTTTTTAGATATGTGTAATACATTTGCCCGTGAAATAGGAGCTATAGAAGGTATCATAAGATATATTAAAAATGTTGGAAATGCTATGCAACATTTATTAGAGAAAAATGCTTTCTACAATCAGAATCTCAGTTTTACCCAACCTCCAAGACACAAAAGATCAGCTGACATACTAATGAACCTCTAGGCTACCATGATTTATATAAAACAAAAATTTTATTCATTGTGCAATGACTTCTATGCAGAATTTACATTGTGCTAGAGGATGGAGCTACTGTCATTTCAGAGGTGAGATCAGTATCAGATGTTTAGCTGATATTTTTTTCCCTGAGGGTTTCTGATCCAACTACAGGAGTCATACTATTCTGTTTGATATATATGACATGACTTGGCTACAGCCAAGGTACCACAGGGTGTATGGATTACACCTGAAAACTGATTATTCGTGTTCATCAATGGGGACAGTTTTCAGTCAGGAAAGAAGGAATATTTCTTTGAAAAACTTATGGCTATTAAAAAGTACAAGATGACACTAAAAAGTGGACATGAACGACATTTTAAGTTATCTTCAGTCATCATTCTGTACTTATATTGTCAAACATTAATAACAGCTAATAATCACTGCTACAGACTGAATATTGTACAGTTCAGGCACTAACTGATGTGCATAAACTCAGCTCTATAGAGTTATTTAACCCAGTAGTCTTTTCCTGCGGAATCAATTTATTTCCCAAAAATACTCCGAGTTTCTTTCTTACACATAAAACAGAAGACAACTGCATTAAAGAAATCAACATGTTGAGGGCTTTTAAACATGGAAAAAGAAAGGAAAAAAAAAAAGAGCACCAACAGACTATCATTATAGGTAGAGATCTTTATTTAGATAAACAAGAATTGGCTAATTTTATTGAGATTCAAGTAATCTTGGTATCAATATATTTATTTTTGATAATATTAACTGCAACCAAACCACAAGCTTAAGTGGAACATAGAAAACATGTAAAATATTACATCTTCAAACTTTAGTTAGTCTTCTAGATTTTAATCCTAGTGCAGAAAGAACTCACTGATGAAAAGTAAATCAAAAATAACTTGAATAAACAATTAGCAGCAAAACATTATGATGAATCGAAAATGAAACATGAAATTTTTCAATTTTTCATTTCTAATCTACTAGCCCATGCTGAAACTCTTCAATTTCTTGAAAAAGTATTTTAATTTGCAGGATAGCTTTTGTTTCAAACCAGTGATTATCGGCATGGACTCACTGTAAGAAATAAGATGCATTCACACAGGAAGAGAATAACATAAGAGAGCACTACTGGAAGCACAGCTGCATTGAGAGTATATCCAAAGAGCAGATTATACTGTGTAAACACAACTATATTTGTAACACAGAAGATTCTCACATCTGGAAACCCACATGGATTCTCACATGGTTTTGAGTGTGTGGTTCTATACTAACATATTTCAAAGCTCTTGGCCAAGATAATTTGGAGCTAATTTTATGTTAATGACAGGGCAATTCACTCACTGCAGAAAGGAATTATGTATATGAAGCAAATGAATGATCAGTACAAAATTTACATTGTGAGGAAGAACATCTTGTCCTGCCTTCCTTTGGTCCTTTTATTTCCCCTATCTGCAGACCATTTTCCCTCATCACATTTTTTTTTTTCTTCTTTTTCTTTTTTTCTTTCAGGAAAATCATATGGCTTGTATTCATAGATTACCTTGATTATTACCAGAGGGGTAAGTGTAAGATTAGAGCCTAAGGCATAGGAGGGAAATGAATATAACAACTATAGAGTTAAACAGTTTGGGAATTAGTGGGCTTGTTTTTCTCCAGAGTGGCAGGCCTGCAGCCAAAGCAGACAGTGTAAAACATTTCTTTGTTCCTTCTTTTTTCTTTCTCTCTCTCTCCCCCTTTGGTTTTTTTTGTTAGACTTGCATGTAAAGATAAAAAAAGTACTTAATAAACATCTCCAAAAATTACATTTTATAATACTAAAGGCGCACTATTATTTTCTTTTGCCAAACTCATGAGATGACTATAGGCTTAAGGAAAAATACACAGTGAAGGAGAAGATAAATAGCCATCAGTCATCCACTCAGCAGCCAGGAATTTACATTGAAATGAAAGCAGAAAGGCTGCTGTTAAAATCAGGAAACTGAGTTTAGGGAAACACCGTAGGGAAAGACATCTCAAAGAAAAACGTCTGTGCATTTGCAATCAAATGAGCATTTGAGCTCATGGAATTGCATAATACAACAACTGTATTAGGAGTCTGCAGAGTATATATTTGCACACATCAGAAGCAATCCAGCCACAACCAACTGTAATAGTTCAGAGTCATGACTTGGAATCAGTAACACAGTCTTAGGGAGACACTGGATTCAACATCTCCCAAGCTTACACTCCCCTCATTGTAAATAATTTACAGCTCCTATCCAGAATAAATACTTCTAGACATTTCTTTAAAAATACAAGGACATAAAGTGAGTGTCATTCAAAATGCAGAAAAACCCCACTAGACAAGGGAAAATTAGGTATCAGGTCTGATTCCCATTAAAAACTAGAAAACCTTTTAATTGTTCTGGCTAATTTTTAATAGGACACTGAGTCCTATTCATTTCCTAGGCTTTTTTATCGTTAATGATCCAAAAAACTAATTCCTAGCCAGGAGTTTAGGAGCCTGCTAATGACCTTAACTGTTTATGTGTGGTTAGCTTTTCACACACTTGTGGCCCTCCTCTGACTGAAGATTTCTTGTTCCTTGCTGAATTCCTCCGTGACAGGAGTCTATAGAGAAAACCTTACTGCATGTGGTAGGAATGCAAACTTGTGCTTTGCTGTGGACAGCCCTGCTGTGACTACAAGTTTTCAAGTTCAAATCTTTAGGCTTTCTTTCTACACCTATACAGTAACAAAAACAGACTAACACTGAAAGCCCTTATCAGATTTTACCATGGGGAGAAAGCTAACATGTCAGGATTATTTCTAATTATAGTAAATAATCATAAAATGACACGTAGCAAATGAGTAAGTACTACAAAGTCGGGATATTTAAGGACTATGCAGCTGGCACATCTATAAAATGGAAATTTTGTTCCTTAAAGTGCTGCAATCAATAGTTCTCGTGATACTTTATTTGTTTGAAATAATTTACTTTGATGCTTAATTTGCTGACATTTTTACTGGTGTGTGAGAGTGCAACAGTCAATTTTAGAGGTAGCTGCTTTCTTCCTGGTAAAACTACTCCATTTTAACAGAATACTGATCTACTGAGACAAAGTTCAGATTTTTGACAGATCATCCCAGGGTAGTTTTGTAAGTTTTAGTTATTTAGTATTTTTTTGACAGTTTCTCAAACAGCTCCATTCTGCTTTGAAAAAGCAACCCTCGCCTTCTATCTCCACATAACTCAATGTGCACCATGAACTCCAAGGTCTCACCTTTCTGCATCACACCCAAGCATCATGTACTTGTCTGTGAACAGTACCGGCCAGGGCAACTGTGAAATATCATTAATATGCTGCATACAAACCACACACATCATCTCACTGTGGAACAGTTTCTTACAATTTCCAGAAATGATGAAAGCCCAGAGTTCTTTTCCACCACAGAAGTCAGTTTGGTGTCCATAACTTGTAAACTGATTTAAATTGATGTACTATGTCCATTGTGGATTGAGCCCAGCAGGTACCTAAGGACCACTCAGATGCTTGCTTGCTCCCCACCCCCCCACCCAAGTGGGAAAGAGGAAAGGAAGAGCAAAAAGAGTAAAGGAAAGGAAGAGTAAAAGCAATAAAACTTGTGGATCAAGATAAAAATTGTTTAATAAGCAAAGAGAGAGAAAGATAACAAAACAAGCAATGCAAAGGCAATCACTCAGTGTCTCCCATGGGTAGACCAACACCCAGCCAATTCTGAGGTAACTTTGTAGAACCCACTCTTTTCCCTTTTTATTACTGTGCACAAGGTTATATGCATTGGTATGGAGCATCTGTTTGGTTAATTTGGGTCATCTGTCTGGATCCCAGCACGCTGCACATCCC